GTGGACAATCATGATTTTGTGAAATGTCACTCATTTAGAATGGTGACCTTTGTCCATAAAGCAGAAGTCCATGTAAGACATCATGCAATGTTTCAGCACAATACATACTGTATTAATTCACATTTTTTATTGTATGAAAATTAATCAGATTAATTGCGAACAAAATAATTTCCTTTTACAATTTCTGCAGCCTTATAAGTTCTTGTCTTCAATGTGTCAGATATTGTTGGGAGAATTAATTATTTCTGCCCTGACTCCTTCCAATGCTAAAATTGTGTGTTCCTAATTTAAGTGCTTGCTAATGCTGCAGCAAAGTGTGCCCTCTACTTTGCCCTGACACCTCGCTTTAATGTCAAACACAGAAGAGTACTTTCCATTGTTTGTGATTCCCCTCATGCCCTCCATTTCTGATCCTTGTAACACTGAGATTCACTCACCATTACTAAAAAGTAAATTGAACATCAAATTTCTGGGACTGCATATAGTCATATGGAAATGCTTCCCACCTGGTCCTGCTCCCCCAAAACCTGTACAGTAGCAGCATCCTCATTGAGGGATCTAGCACTGAAACCCATGAAAGGGGTATGAAGTTGCCAAGCTGACAAGGAGAATTCAGAGATAGTGATTTGAAATTGAATATTTCTAAAAATGTGTAAAGTGTTAATTACTACCAAACAACTTCTAGCTTTGGAATTTTACTTTTCTAAGCAATCTCATTCCTTCAAATATTGTTTTTTAAAACTTTCCTTCACAGCTAGTAGGCATCGAAAGCTGGGTCGGGGATTTTTTTGTCATTCCATAATTGCCTTTGACGTAGCAATGAGATGTCTGCTTGAACTGCTGCAGTCCATCTGATGTTGGTACACCCAAACTGCTTGCCAGAAAGGGAGCTCAAGAATATTGGTGGAGTGACAACGAAGAAATAACAAAGTTATGGTAATATGTGACTTGAAGCACAACTTGCAGGTTCTGGTGTTTCTCTGCATCCGATATGAACGTCGTTTGAGATGGTAGAGGTGTGGATTTGAAAGGTGCTGGCTAAAGAGCTTTGGCAAATTCCTGCAGTTACCACTATGCATTGGTGGTGGAGGGAGTGAATGTTTAAAGTTGTAGATGTGGTGCCAATTAGGAAAGTTACTTTGTATTGGATGGTGTTAAGCATTTTGAATGTTGTTGGAGCTACATTCATCCAGGCAGTGGGAGTATTCCATCACACTCCTGACTTGTGCCTTATCAAAGGAGGACAGGCTCTGGGGCACAGGAGGTGAGTCACTCGCCATAGACTTACTAGCTTCTGACTTGCTCTTGTAGCTACCATATTTATATGGCTATTCAAGTTCAGTTACTCGTTAATGGAAACCATGAGGATGTTGATAGTTGTGGATTTTATGACAGTAATGTCACTGAATATTGAACAGATAGATAGTGAGATTCACACTTGTTGGAAATGGTCACTGCCTGACACTTTGGTGGTAACATTTACCAATTATCAGCCCAACTCTGAATATTGGACACATCTTGCTGCATGTGGACAATGACTGCTTCAGTATCTGAGGAGCTGCAAATAGTGGAATTAACATTGTGGAATCAGTGAATGTCTCCAATTCTGACCTTATGATAGAGGGAAAGCTGTTGATGGAACCACTGAAGATGGTTGGATGAAGACACTAAACTGAAGTCCTTGAACTGAGATGACTGACTGGCTTCAACCACAAGGATCTTCTTCCACTACACCCCCACATTTCCTATTCACTTCAGTTATGTTAGAGCTGCTTGATGCAACTTCCCCACCGAGAATATATTTTATACCCTCTACCATCAGGTTTCTTCCAATTGGTGTTCAACATGGAAGCATACTAATTCATCAACTGAAGATAGGAAGGATGAATGATGGAAGCAGGTGGCAACCAGCAGGTGGATTTCTTACACACACTGAACCTGATGCTATCAGAGTCCATGGGATACAGAGTCAATATTGATGGCTGCCAAAGCAACACTCTCCCATCTAGGCACCAACTATACTCTGGACTATCCTGCTGCTGAGAAAGGACATGCCCAAGGATGGTGATGGTGGTGTTCGGGGCATTATTTGTAAGATATGATTATTGGGTAATATGATTAATGTTTGGTGCTTTTTAAACAACACTAAAATGTTCAAATTTGTTTTGTCACCTTTCTCTCTCATTTTTTTCTCGCACTTTCTGGATTTGATTAGAAATTATATTAATTATTCTAATTGACATGTCCTACTTCAGACTCTGCGCTGCTCATTAATCACCCTTCAATCTAACTGGTTAACTTCCTTGCTGTGTTCACACTTTTCCTAAAGCATCTGTAAAGGATGCCAAGCCAAATTGGTATCTAGGTCCCACTGTAAAAGCCCTTAGGGATCCTGTGAGCAAGTGTAAGTGTAACAAATAATGTTTGCTGCTGACCATAAAGTTTGCCCTTTTGTCTTGGAATTCAATTATTCATTGCTGAGCAACTCCTTGCTCAGCACTAAGGGGAGAATTGGTACTGCCAACCTAATAGATGCAGCCCCCAGACTAAAAGAAAGGAAACCTTTACCCATCATTCGGCCCTGGATTAAAACTTAGACCCTTAAAATGTATTAATCTACTGTATTATCTCAATATCTTCCACAGCTAGTTTGCTGAGGTAGAGGAAATGGACAGCCCATGAAATCTTGGTACTTCCCTCATTATCAGTGGTTTTCAAACGTTTTATATGGGGATCTTACTGTGGGGACTCCTGGCAAATAGCAACTCACTCTCAAGAACCACCTGGTCTAGACAGTTTCAGTTTCCCAAAGATAAATACTTATTATTGTAAATTATCTATGAGTGTAAGAAAAGAAAACATGCCATTTAGTGAAAAAGAAAGAAGAACAACTAACAGAAGACAAACAATGGTTGGACCTCCATGAATTCCTTTTGCAAACCCCTGTCAGGGTACCTCAGCTCAATACTGAAGTTCTGCCCAGCTTCTATAGTTTCCAAATAAAACTGTGAACATCATGAATAATCACTGATACTTAGACTGGTTATAATTACTGAAACTTGGAAAAGTTAAGTTGGCTTGCAATTTAGATGTATATTTTCATTTGCCAGATAATTTCATTGGCAGAAGTGCCTTTATACAATTACACATTGTCTAATTTTAAAGTGGTATCTGGCCAATTAACATGTTTACCCAATCTGAGACTGTCATCTATGTTCATTAATAGGGTAATTACTGATGTTGGCTCGGAAACATAAAATGTGAGGCTACCTAAGGTCACAGAGGGTAATGAAATTGGAGAAAGCTGCATGTTTCAGTTTCCTGAAATTAACAACATAGACATGAAGGAGGAAGTAATCTGCCGATGACCAAATTTGATGTTAAAGGTGGTGAATTGAACTAAGGATTGTATGTGGAATTTGAACTTTTTGTGGAGATTTGGCTCTTTTGGTAGTCAAAAACATTGGTCAAATTGCAAGAGCACTGCTAATGAGGCATTTAAAATATTGGATAAGCAAATTATTTAACTGCATTTCCCTTTCCAAATAATTGATCTGTTAAATCTTTCAGTTAAAGGAAATTTGGTCATCTGGAATGTACAAATGCTAAAGTAATGATGCTTCATCTGCTCCAACATTTATCTTTTAGAGTGCAGTTAAAAATGTTTGAATATTTTTATATGTTAAGAAAACAAAGGGTTAATCACAAATATGATGTATTCTTGCACATGCCTTTACATCGAAGCCTTAACTACAGAATTCCTAAGGGAAGCAATACATGTTGCTTCTGTGCAAATAAATGACTACTCAAGATAATTTAGAAATGGCCCATTATTCTCTGGTTATGTACACTGGAGAATGCAAGTGAATGGCAATGTCAAGGAGTGGAACATTTGAAATGGAAATGTGATGGTCAGTCTGTGAGAGAAGATTGTTTTCTTGGAATGTTGTTAGTTTAACTTCCATTTTGGAAGTTATCAAATTGGAACATTAATTTTTGTTGTCTCTTTTCTAGCTCATGCCTCAAATCTTAAAAAAAAAGTTTGATCCATAAAGCACCATGGTTAGTTGGAGCTCCGCCAACTGCAGCTGTGGAAATGATGATTCCAGTAAAGGACTCCAACCATCCAAACCAGGAGCTGGAACCAAGACTAATACTCCCTTTTACGCTGGTAATTGCTCCCATTTGTACTATGGCAGTACCATTTCAATTAATATTGGGATTTTCAATTTTTGGTACACAACTTTGCTCTAATTTTGCATGAGACATTGTAATTATTAAAACACCACATCATCACCAATAAATACTATTTTTCAAAAGGCGCTTTGATAGTTCTGGGACATTTTGGAGGAAGTTAGACAGGTTTTTTAAAATTAGATTCAGATCCAAGACTGATGGGTCTGTCTCTCCTTTACACTATGAAGGTGCTGAAAACATACAATTCATAATGATAGCACCAATCAGTAATCTTACTCAGACAGGATAGAGAATCCAGAAGAATGCTACTGATGTTTCATTTCAGGAGGTAGTGTCAAAATACATTTTTAGATCACAGCATAATGAGTTTTACATCTCCCACAAAAGTTAGAAAAAAGAGTTTCATTTTCTAGACACTATAAAGTTGTACACTGATATAAAATGATAAAGACTTGATAGTAAATAAAATTCAGTGTTGAACAGAGACCTGAATAAACCAACATTCCACATTTCATTCTATAACTTTGTAGATTTCATAGAAGCAGGAATTCTGAGAAGTGCTGATAATACATTACAATGAATTCCTCCTTCACAGGTAGTTATGGATTCACATTAACTGCTTTGACTCCATGAATAATGGTATCTTCTCAACACGGTTGCTAATCTCTGTGTGAAAACTACATTTGTCTTGTCATGGTGAGGTGTGGATAATTTCTAAAACATATTTTGATCAAGAATTCAAATTATATTATTACAAAAAAGTACATTAAATTGTTTAGAAAGAAACAAACTTACATTGCAGGTAATTTGTAAACCATTTTATTTAGTTGGTTCCAATCCATAGCCTGCAATTAATTGGTTCATGTAATAAGAACAGTAGTTAGTAACAATAGTCAACAGAAATTACCTTCATTAGTGACAGGCTAAATCCAATATGTTACTGCACCACAAACTATGTTCTATAATAAATAGGAATTATGTACATAAAGAATGCAATGTTTTGTCTAGTCCTATTGGACTTTCCTATCTCATATACATTTATTCACAGAATGGAGTAACTCCAGATTTTGCAACATGATCTAGAATGCAGTACTTCAAGTGCCTAAATGCAGACATAAACACAATAAAATAATGCATCAAAATTCAAGTTGCTCGATTGCATTTGTACAGTTCACTAACGGAATTGTGGAAAGGCAGTCTCATTCCCTGGGATTTGGCTTTCAGCGTGCACCCTGAAGTACAATCCTGATTAGTGCTGCAATGGAGGCGTTTCTTTCGCATGAGTTCTTTACCTCTTTACTCTGGACCAATCCAATGTAAAGAAGAATGGATGTGATTTGATATCTTCAAAACCTGATACACCAGCACCAAGCCTCTCACAGGGATTGTACTGCAAAAGCTGAAGATGAGGAAAACAAAAGTATCACAGTGATCCTGTAGTGGAAATGATTCTGTTACAGATGCTGCTGAATATATGCATTCTATATTTATACTGAACCCAGTCACCCTTTTCAGGAGATAACGATTAAATAATACCCTTTTCTTTCTTTTGCTGAATAGTTCCAATAACTTCAAAATTAATCTGATTTACAACTCACTATCATCCTTACCTCTATCACTGATGAAACAGTGGGCAATACAAGTTTAATGGTTTATAATAACAACTTAGTCTGCTTGGACTTATTCTATAAGGATCTGTCTATGCATACTGTCCTTTATATCTGAGTGAAAATGTTTCCACAATTGGTCAATTCAATGAACCCAATATTTTTCAATGAACTTCAATTCATCACATTGTCTACTGTATATAATAGTTACCACGTAGATGAATTAATTCACATTTTAAATTTTATGTGCCCTCTCCTGTTGATTTCTTTCTGAGCAGCATCCATTTGTTTGGAATTGTCTTCTTCACACAACTAGATAGTCAGCTTCAATACTGCTGTTGAGGTCCTATTCAATGATCATAAGTGACTGGCGAAGGTTTGAAAACCAATTCTTCACGCCCCTTGCTTGTCACTGCTCCAAATGAAATTGCTGCAACTGATATCTAGGACACTCCTTATCTAGTGACTGCTAATTCAATTGATATCTATTGTTTTGGATCTCAGGGGCTTTCACTCATCAGGAAGATTCCTATGACAGATTCTATATTTTCTACTGATAAGAAACACAATAATCACCAGCTTACCATCATCACCTATTCTGTTCAGTCATTAGATAGATCTAATAGATTTTTTACAGCATAACTTGCCTTTCATAAAAGGGTATTGATTTGGATTAATTGCACTTACTCTTGCTAAGTGCTGCTTTTGATCACTTTTCTCTATACAGGCTTTCAGTACAAACATCAGAATAAGAGGTGGAGAATGCACGAGATTATGCTTCCGATCCATTTAAAAAGTCCAGTCATTTGATTCAAACTTTGCATCCAGCACTTTTACAAAAGATTCTACAATGTTGCACTTCCTATTTCTATATTATTTTGTTCTGTACCCTCATCAGCAATTCTTTCCCCAGGCAGCACGTTCCAGTGCAGATAAATCCAGTCATCACTGTATCTGAAGTTATACCATCTCTTTTCATTAATATAATTATCAACACTTCAAATCCAGCCACATTAAGTCCACCTTCAATACTCGATTATGTGCATTACAAACTAAAAGATTTACAGCTTTTCCATGCATTGTGCATCATATTATAACCAATTTCACATTAGACCAAGGAGGAATTTACACCAGCACAAAGGTTGCTCTTAACACTAACAGTGGGATTAGACATTTCACTCTTGCTGTTATGCTGAACTGTGTAGATAGTAGCAAATGATTCTTAATTAATTTACTTTTCTTACCAGTTGCTCATAAAACAGAAAACATCACTAATCAGCTGATACGCACTTAAGCATTCAAAAGCCACAGCAGTGCTTTCCACCTAAGAGCTATAAGGAGAACATATTATTCTGAATAGGAAATGAAAGTCAGAAATTAGTGGTGCTAAATCCATACATTAAACAACATAATTTTAAGTGGAGTAGCCTGTAAAGAGAAACATAAGCACCAGAACTAAATAGATGGCATATCCAACTTTTTTCCATATCTTTATAAGTGTTCATTAGCAGCTGGGTTAAGTACAACTTGTTTTTCTTGCTGTAAAGTGGGTGGAAAATCAATGCCGTCATTTTTTTTATTAGTCTTCAATCACCAGGATACGGTAGCTCAGGCAGCCCCATTTGTAAATTACCTGAAACTGGTATCAAATAAATGCATTTGTACAATTTTTTTAATTCTAAGGAAGTATATAGAAGGGATAGCGCATTTCTGGTTAACCTAATTTTGCTGCGTTTAGTTTAAATGCATGGCACTGTTGGGCAGGAATTACAATTTTAATTTTCTTGTGATCATATAATTTGCCATTGAAGAAACATTTAGGATTTACCAAAATCATTTTAACAAAAATGCTCATCTTCAATTGAAAGTTGAATAATAAAACCAGAAAATTAGAGCTAAATAGTTAGAAGTATTGCATGCTGAGGAAAATGAAATTTATTTAGAACAGCCATGCCTAAGATTTTCAAGTTGATAAATTAAATGTTTCATTGTAGCATCGGCCACAGTACAGCACTCTGGTCTTTGATTTAATCCATTGCTGAGACTTCAGCACGTAAACCAAGCTAACAATCCAGTCTAGTCCTGAAGAAGCACTGCACTGTCAGAGTTGCCATTTATTGGTTGAGATGTCAATTCCATCTGCCCTTTTAGGTGGGTGCAAAATATCCCAAGGCACAATTTTGAAGCAAATAAAGGAATTCTCTCCTAGCCAAACAAAATCACTAAAACACTTGATCTGGTCGCTTTCAGATTGCTGTTCGAAGGAGCTTGCAGTGCATCAACAGACTGACTCTTTCCTTAACACTGCGACAATGATGACATTGCAAATTAATTAATGAGGCGTAAAGCACTTCAGGATCCTGAAGCTGTGAGAGATGTTTTCATCTTTCTTTTGATACAAAAATGTCCCAGTCAAGGTTTAACCCCATTTTAAACAGGTTATTCCACACCGAAAGGAAACTTCATCCACCTTTTGTTATTGTTAAAAGTTATCCAACAATTTTCCTCCATCTCGGGTGCAAAATTAAAGACACCAATATTTAAACTTCTCACAGCTAATGTTTGTCCTGGGGTAACTAAGACCATTTATAAAACCCTCCTCATTCCCTCAGCTGAAATCAGTTAATATTGATAGCTGGAAAGTGATTAGAGGCGACTGAATTTATGAAGGGGTCTGCTTTCACTACTGTCAATATTGAGGAGCTTGGCCAGTGTCTTCCATCTACATTCGCACATGTGCATCATAAAAAAGAAGACCACTTCACAAATTGGAGAATCCCCATGATGGAGCACTGTGGAAGTTAGCCATTCCTATTCAATCCCTGGCCTGCTGTACCTGATCTCAATTTGGTCAATTATTCCGGGTTTGGAATGGAAGGAAATAAAGGTCACGGCAGATTGTTATCCAGTAACTGCTCCAAGAAACTTTGCAATTGCAGCCTTGGCTGTGATCTCCTCATCATCAGATAATCAGCTCCTATTCCACATGTAGACTCACACATGAGGAATGACCCCTTGTGTGAAGTACAGTAAGGTTACTGATGCCAGTGTATTATAACCCACCGTCAGTCTCTGCCTTCAGGACAGAGAAGATAGGAGAAAATTCCTGACACAGAATAAATGCAATGAAAAAAAAAAAATTTGCAATGAAAAGAAAGGAACATTCTCGCTCCCCCACTCAGTTCCTCCATTTATGCAGAACAAAAAAGGAACTGCTGCTTTGAAGTATAAATCCTTAATAATTCTATTCTGCAGAATTTAATTATAATAGCAGATTACCTGCTGCACTACTGATCTGGCTTCCTCCGACATGTGATCTGGCATGTTTAGAGCTGTGTGCGTATTTATTCCAGCTGGATGGCACTGAAACAGAGGCTGCAACAAAGAAAATCAGCCGCCATCGTTGAATATTATTTAGACATAATTGAAAATTCAAATATGCAATGCAGTTCCCAACCCAGCTCTACTCACTTTTCCAGTGAAGAGTTCAAATAAAATTGCACCAAGACTCCACCAGTCACAAGCTTCAGTTTCTTCTGCGATCCCACCAATCTCTAGGTGTGGAAAAGAGGTTATACATTAACACATAGCTTTAATTCAGTTCCTGTCTAGATCTTATTAGGTATTGTTACAAGACTCTTATACCCAAATAAAATTATTTTTGCATCATAATGGTGGCTGATGCCTTGTCTAATTTTCTGCAGACATTGATTTTGCTACCCTTCTCCCTTATTCCAGTCCTTTCACAGTCAACAACAAAAAACCTTCTGGATGTTATTAAGATTGGCTTAATCAGTTTGATCAGCTACCTATACACGCACGGCTGCGTGGCCAAGTTCCGCCTCAACTCCATTCACAAGTTTGCTGATGAAACCATCGTTGGAGGTCAGATCTCAAGCAATGAAAAACAGAATGCAGCAAAGAGACTGAGTGCTTAGCAGCATGATGTAAAGACAACACTTTCCCCATCAATGCCAGCAAAATGAAAGAGCTGGTCATAGAATTCAGGAAGCAGCGTGGAGGGCGCGACCCTGTCTGCATCAATGGTGCTGAGGTGGAGATGGTCAAGAGCGTCAAGTTCCTGGGAGCGATGATCACCAACAATCTGTCCTGGTCAACCCACATCAAAGCAATGATCAAGAAAGAACAACAATGCTTCTACTTCCTCAGGAGGCTAAGGAAATTCAGCATGTCCATAATGACTCTTAATTTTTTTTTATAGATGCACCATAGAAAGCATCCTATCTGGGTGCATCACAACATGGTATGGCAACTGCTCTTCCCAAAACTGTAAGAAACTACAACGTCATGAACACATGCAAGTCCATCACACAAACCAGCCTTCCATCCATTTACTCCAGCTATACATTCCGTTGCCTCAGGAAAGCAACCAACATAATCACCCCATTTATACTCTCTTCCATCCAGCAAAAGATCTAAAAGTTTGAAACAAACAGATTCAAGAACAGCTTTTTCCCCTGTTATCAGACTTTTGAGCAGACCTCTCAAATGTTAATGTTGATCTCTCTCTCTGCCCCTATTCTGCAGCTGCAATACTGAATTCTGCACTCTGTTCTGCTACCCTGATGCACTTTGTATGGTATGATCTTCATGTAGAGCATGCAAAACATCACTTTTCATTGTATCGCAGTACATGAAACAACAATAATTCAAATCAAAAACCCAGAACCTTCATCAAAAGTGCCTCCCACCTCATTTATCACAAAGCTGTACTTCTTTTCTTTCCCAATTGCCAAGCACATCTATTTCATGCAATCCATCTTCTGCTTTCTTGTCCACACTGACCTGCTGAACAACGTTTCCACATGGCCTTCACACCAGCTGGTATTGTAAATGGCTCCCATACAAAGCTACCATAAACGGTCCCCTTCAAAAAATAAATCTTTGATTCTTCTACTCTTGCAAATTATCACTATCTTAATTGTACCTTCCTTCTCCAAGTTCTTGAAAGTAGTGTTGACTCTGAAAGTGTCCACCTTTCCCGCAACTCCATATTTGAATCTATGTAATGGGTATCAGACCCTGCTAATAACATTAATATGTCCCTAAATCAAAATCACAAATGACGTTTGTCATGATTGTATTATGGTGCATATCTTGCTCATTTTCCTGAATGTCTCTGCAGCATTTGACAGTCAACCACAATGTCTTCCAATGCCTCTCCTCTGTTGCCTAGTTTAAAGGGACAGCCTTTGTTCGACACCACTCTTTCACAAGTGAATTTATCAAAGCATATCCTGCAATGGTTTCGCTTCTTACCAGCGCACCATTATCTCACAACAGTGCTTGGTAAGTATATAGGTTCAAGTGATAAGGGGATAACATGGATAAATATTGCTAAAATTGATGAATAGCCATGAACTGGAATGGAGCAGCAGAGTTGAAGGACTGAGTGGCCTACTACTGTTTTAAAATGCAGGTTATTCTTCTGGATTCTAGCCAAGGAAAAGTAATATCTAAGCACCCATGCAGGCATAAAACTATCCCATTGCGCCACAAATCAAATCGTTTAACTGCCCTATTAGGTGAGATACTGACTTTTATTTACATAAGGCTCAAATATGTCTGAGCGAATTAGTTTGGTTTAGTTAGCAGAACTGTTTCTTTGAAGTGAAAGGATAATTTTGCTCTATTACATCAAGGAAAAGAATAAGGTATGCAATGTGGTTATAGAATTAACACTAATGTATTTTTAGTCCGTTTTCCTTTATTAATTTCATACAAAAGGAATTTACTGCCCTAAGACTCTCCAAGAACTTCCCAGAAATATTTGTCTTAAATGATGAGGTTTGCAAAACCTGGCTTCCAAATATTGCTGACACTCGCACTAGTAGATGCCAAAGGTCCTCAGAATGACAGCAGGGCACTGCTCGCCACATCCAGGACAGACTGCACAATACAAGTGGACTTCGCATCAGAAACTTTCAAGAGGTCAAATAGCCTCTGGAGCTGGTTGGATGCACCTTCTGCAAACTTGGCCCATCCAAGTCTAGTGTTCTGCACCCCAACCAGTGCCAGTTAGACATGTTCAGCTGCATGGGCTATCACGTCCAGTGTTACTTAAAGAGTCAGTGATCCAACTTTTCTATTTGCTTATTTGATATTGAGAAGACAGTTGCTGGCTAGGCCAGCATTTATTGCCCATTCCTAATTGACTTTGGGAAGGTGATCAAGAGCCTCCTTCTTCAACCACTGCAGTCCAATACTGTTAGGGTGGAAATTCCAGATTTTGATATAGTGATGGTGAAGGAACACCAATATATTTTGAAGTAGGGACGATGAGAGACTTTGAGGGAAAGCTGCAGATGGTTATGCTGGCACATATCTGTTGCCTTTGTCCTTTCTACGTAAGAAGTTGAGAGTTTGGATGGTGTTATAAAAGCAGCCTTGTTGAGTTGTTGCTGTACATCTCATAGATGATACACGATAGACACCAGTATCAACGTGTGTCAGTAAACAAATGTTTAAAATAGCAGTTTGGGCTACTTGAGGAGCTTTCATTTACTTTCGGTCTTGCAAAGCTTGTGGAAGGGTGTGCGGCTGAATCCTGATAAGGACGACAGAGGAGTGTCCTGACTGTTCATGGAAAGGTTGTTTGTTATGGGGCTGTGGCTGCAGTTCCTCTTGATCAGTAAAACAGTGGGGTGCTAGGGTTGAGGCTTCATACACGATAAGCTCTACACAAAGGAAGAAAAACAAAGTCTACTTAGAAAACCCTAGTCCCCAAGGGTTTGCAGGGACCATGTCTCCAATCTATATCTTGATCAGGAACAAGCTTCCATTTCACAAAGGAACGGTTCATAGAACTATATCACCTCCTACAACAGCTGCTAAACAGCACAAGGAGCACAGTCCATGACTTAATTCTTGCCTCTATATTCTTGCTGACCTGCAATGGCTCCCAACCAAGCAATACCTTGATCTTAAACTTGTATCTTTGTTTTCAAATCCTTCCGTGGCTTTTTCTCTCTCCCTACCTCAGAATTCTCAAGCTCTACATTACTTCGACATATCTGCCTAATTCTAGCCTCCTTGGCACCCCTGGTTTCAATCTCTTGACCACTGGAAACCATACCTTTAGTTGCTTAAGCCCAATGCTCTGGCACTCCCTTCTTACACAAACCTACTTTCATTTCTTCCTTTAGGACATTACTTCAAATATTGGCCAAGTTTTGGTCATCAGACCTAATATCTCCTCATTCAATTCAGTGTTGTGTTTTGTTTTATAATGCTTCTTATGCATCTTGGCATGTCACAGTTACTTCCAATACAGAAGGAGACCATTTAGCCCTAAACTATGCTGGCTCTTCATGCAGCAATCCAAAATCAACGGGAACAGATTTTCCTTGTCTAGCTTTTCCAAACTTGTCCTAATCTTGTATGTCTCTATCAAACGGCCCCTCAAAATCCTTTGTTCCAGGAAAAACCCAGTGGCCCTATCATCAACTCTTTGAAAGCGCCACTGTCTTCCAGTCTGGGAAGTGACCAGTCACAACTATTCTTTGGTGCCTGTCATTCAGCCAACTTCATATCGATGTTGTCACAGTGCCTTTTATTCTATGGGCAATGGCTCAATGTCAAACTTTGTTTAATAATGCTCCTATGAAACAACATTTTACCATGTTAAAAACTCTATAAATATAAGCTCTTGTTGATTGAAGAGATGGAAAACCACACTGAGGCAGTATATTTGAAAATAATCTATTTGAAACAACGAATATTATGACTGGCAATCATTTCTCTTCATGTTAGTTTAATTCCATCATAGTTTTAGGATTAGTAAGTCTTTACAGCTAGCTGTTCAGATGACGTGGGCACCCAGAAACGCCTAACGGGACAGTCTTGGGGACTAGCTGGTGATTTTCAACTTAATAAAATTAACAGACTGAAGTTAAGCGACTACTCACCATTAACAGATCAGAATATTCTGATTAGATGATTTTCTGAACACATCTTGCCAGGAATAATAGATTTCAGAAACATCTCTCAAAGTTTAATTATTTCTATAATCCAGTGATAGCTGCTTTTTTTGCCCTTGCTTATGATTGAACCTTTTGGTTAACATACCTGGTTTATAGTTTTTAACTCATTTAATGGTCAGGGCAAGAGAAACAAAGAATAGGGATAGTAGGTCACTCAGTCCCTTAAACCTGCTCTGTCACTGAGTAAGATTCTAAATAAACTGAGGCTGAGAGAGGTGGGTATCGGATAGTTAGTGAACTCTGCTGACCTTTACGGGAGGATTCAATTCAAATAAAACTTCCAGGCCTACCACCAGACACCCTGCAGATTCACTGCCTGGAGTTTGCCTGTTTAAAGAGGCTGTAGCAATACTGCACAGCAGTGGCCTGGAAAGTCTCCCAACATTGGGTTTCTATAAGATGTAGGAGCAGAAGTGGGCTATTTGGCCCATCAAGGCTGCTCAACGATTTAATGAGATCATGGCTGATCTGTTAAACTTCACCTCCTTTCCTGCCCTTTCCCCATACTCAATTTCCTCACCAATTAAAAATCTATTTCAGCTTCAACTATT